TACAAGAACAAACAGACAAAATGAATGCAAATTTTGAAACAATGGAAAATCTGCAATTAGAATTCTAGAAGATTAATACTAAGATTTCAGAAACGGATAGTATATATATAAAAAAAAAAGTCAAAGAAAACCTAAGAGTTGTGTGGGCACCATAAAGAGGAATAGTTTATAAGTGATTGGAATTCTAGAACAAGAAAAGGCAATAGAGAGCAGAGAAAATTGTCTATATTAGTTGTTAGGATAAACACTTCCTTAACATCATGAAAGACGAGAAGATAAGCATACAAAAAATTAAATGAACCACAAACAGAATAGATCCCAAAAGAAAATCACTAAGACCTATCATAATCAAACTTTCCAAAACCAAAGACAGGGAAAGACTCCTGAGAGCAACTCAAGTAAAACGAAAAGTTACCTACAAAGGAGAACCAGTAAGACTATTCTCAGCAGAAACCATGCAGGCAAGAAGGCAGTGGGATGACATATGCAAAACTTGGAGAGAAAAAATTGTTAACCGATAATCATATACCCAGCAAAGCTATCCCTCAAATACAATGGTGAGATTAAGACATTTCCTGATAAACTGAAATGAAAGGATTTTGTAATGCCATACTACTTTACAAAAAATACTAAAGGGTGTTCTATGGACTGAGAACCAAGAACAGTAGACAGCAACCTCAGATTAAGATCCATGATAACACTACCCAGAACTCAATCCTGATACAGAAATATTTAATGTAAAACAAACCTACAAGACTGGTAATAGGGAGCCAGAGATACCTGTTTATAATGTAGTTAGCTGTAAAGCAAAAAGAGGTAATAATGTAGATACAGAACCTCCAAATGGTGAGGAAGTCAAGTAGATTTCAAGATAAAAGACAGGTTTTTTTGTTGTTGTTGTTTTAATTTAAGGTTTTTATTTTGGATTGAGTGAAAGATTACAGGGCATATCATCAGTTTTACATTCAACAAATCATACACTCTGTTTCATTACATTGATTATAATCTCCTCCATGTATCATCAGTTAACAAGTATTTCTCTCTATCCACTTTATAAAAGACTGTTTTAAATGGGGAACAAGTTAATAAATTCAGGGTATCATCAAAGAATATTAGTACACCGTCACATCAAAATAAAAAAGAGAAAATTCAGAAAGATTTAGTAAACATTGACACATAGAAATGAAAATGAAACCCACAAATAGAGTGAACTCAGTGCAGAAATTTATGTAGGAAAACCAGAAGCACCACAAAAAAACAGCAAAATAACAGCAATCAGTTCATACCTATCAATATTTACACTGAGTGTAAATGAATTAAATGTACCAGTCAAGAGACACTAACAGAATGGATAAGAAAACCAGATTCTTTAATATGCTGTGTATGAGACACAAGCTTGAGACAGTCTCAATGCCTAACAACACAACAATGGTTAAACAAACTTTGGTACATAATACACAATGGAATACTATCCAGTGTTGAAAAATAACAATGAATCTGCAAAACATCTCACAACATGGACGAATCTGCAAGATACCCTGAGTCAAATTAGTCCATCATAAAAGGAAAAATATTGTATGAGACCAATGTTGTCAAAAGTTAAGAATAGGTTTTTTTGATAAAATAATCATTCTGTGATGACTGGGGGTTGAATTAAAATTATTCACTGACTAGAGGAGAGAGAATATATAACAGGAAAGGAGGATGGCAGAGGAAAGATGAAGGTAGCAGGAGACATGGAAGAATATAGGCATTAAAGAGGATAGAGTTTAATCCTGGGTCCATGGAGGGATTTACAATCATACTTTGTTGTGAAGCAAAATGTGTTGTTGTTTAGTGCTGTCAAGTTGCTTCCAACTTATAGTGACCCTGTAGAGGGTATCTGAGGAGCGGCTGGTGAGCTTGAACCCCAACCTTGTGGTTCAGAACAACTTTGCAGTCCAGGGCATTAACCCACAGTGCCACACCAGGACTTGGTACTGCTCTGTAGGAAAGCACTACACTGCTAACTGCATGGTTGGTGGTTCAAACTCAACAGCTGCTCCTTGAACAGCCTATTCGGATTGCTCTGAGTCAGAAATTACTTGACAGCATGTCACAACAACAAATATAAGTGAGCCACATTCTATCATTTAAAGCACTTTATAATCTAACGTGACAGAGAGTGATCTTATGGAAGCAATTGCAGTAGAAAGTATTACAGATAATAATATAGTTTTGAACTTCATGATAGAGTTTCCGAGTTCATAAATGTAAGCTGATTTACATTTAGAGCATACACGCTTTTGGCTTTTGCAGTATCTTTGGGCTTTTATTAAGGAGCCAACAGCAGGTCATTCACAGCGTTGCCGGCTATATGCTGTTTTCATCATCCGGAATTTCTGCAAGTTTTCACACAGAGATTTGTTGTTGTTGTTAAGTGCCACTGAGTCAGTTCTGACCCACAGTGAACCCTGTATAGAGTTTCCGAGGAGCAGCTGGTGAGCTTGAACTGCTGACTTTGCAGTTCAAACGCCTTTGCAGTCTGGCGCATTAACCCACAATGCCACACCAGGATCACAAGGCCACAACAAGGCAGAATTAGAACAAAAGAAAAAATGGATAATAGCAACAAACACAAAATAGTTCTGATTAATATGTTCAAGAAAATAGAGCTGTAAGTAGAAAACAGATGAATAAAAATAAGAATGCCTACAAATTAAATGATAACTTTCATATGTTAGAAATACAATAACTAAAAATTTAAAACTCATTGGTAGTGATGGTGGTGGTGGTTGTGTGCTGTAGAGTTGGTTCCAACTCATAGCGACCCTGTATAGGGTTTCCAAGCCTATAAATCTGTACAGACGCAGAAAACCTCACCTTTCTCCTGGCAGCAGCTGTTGTATTCAAACTGTAGACGTAGTTGTTATCAACCCAACACGTAACTCACTATGCTACCAGGGCTCCTGAAAAGCTCATCAGATAGGTCGATAAAAAGTATACAATTGAAGGACTGAGATAAAAGTGAATGAAAAAGCACAACTTAAAAGATTCAGAGATTTGTGGTACCCATGGAAAGATATGATACACAAATAATTGAATTAGCAGTGCTTAGGAGTCCGACTGCCAACCTCAAGGTTAATGGTTTGAAACTACCAGCCATTCCATGGAAGAAAGATGAGGCTTTCTCTGTTCCTGTAAAGATTTACAGCCTTAGAAAGCCTATGCAGGTCACTGTGAGTCAGAACCGACTCTAAGGTACACTACTACCGCCATGGAAAGATAGGATACATAAATAATTGAATTGACAAAAAAGTTAGAAGATAGAGAATTGGGCAGAAGCAATTTTCAAGAGATGTTGTTAAGTGCTGTTGAATCTATTCTGACTCATAGAGACCCTATATAGAGTTTGTGGAGAGCAGCTTATGGATTTGAACCATTATTGATATTGTGGTTCTAAAACTGATGAAAAAAAATATCAACCCAGAGGTTCGAAATTCTGTTTTCCCTAAGCAGGATAGATACTAAGAAAATTACACCTGGACACATTTCATTGTAAGATCACTGAAAACAACACACAGAGAATATCTTAAAAAGAACAGAGAAAAAGACATGTCTCTGAACCCTTCGAAGGTAATAACAGTAAGATTGAAATGTGACTTCTCAACAGAAGCAATGGAAAGTCGTCTTGAAACTGTTAGAAGCAAATATCACAATTACGTAGACTTCTGCATCCAGCAATAGCATCCTTCTGAAATGAAAATGAAGAACTTTCTAGACAAAAGCCAAGAGAATATTGTACTAGCAAGCCTTGATTGAAAGTAAACACAAAAACATCAACAAACAAGGTAGCAGCAATAACAAAGAAAAGCTAACTTCTTCATGTAGAAGAAAGAGGATTTTATAAAGGAACCACCAAAATGAAATGAAAAAGGAATAATGGAAAGGATAAGAAAATGAGTAAATGCAAAGTGATACTCAATATTGATGGTAAAACAAAACAAAGCTTAGTACCAGCAAGTCCTAAACAATAAAGTCAAACAGGAGCTGTTGTTGTTATGTGCTGTGGAGTCGGTTTTGACTCATAGCGACCCTGCACAGGATTTTCAAGGCTGTATCTCTTTCCGGCAGCAGAACGCCTCATCTTTCTCCCGTGGAACAGCTGGTAGTTTCGAACTGCTGACCTTGCGGTTTGCAGCCCGATTCGTAACAACTACGCTACCAGAGGGAAAATAAAATGTATTTTCTAAGATTTTAGTATTATTGAGGATGTATTAAAAACTTTGTTGGATTTTAATAAGTCAGGAATACATATAAAATCATTAAAGTAACTACTAAAGGCATAATTTTAAAGCAGTGAAATTATTGACTTGAAATTGGAAAAATAAAACATTATCAGGTAATCTGAAAGGAGACAAGAAAGGAGAGTTAAAATTATAATTGGCAGAAAACTGGTAGAAAAAGGTAAAATGATAGATGTTGTTGTTGTTAAGTACCGTGGAGTTGGTTCTGACTCATAGCGACCCTACACAGGGTTTCCGAGACTATAAATCTTTACGGGAGCAGAAGGCCTCGTCTTTTCTCCTGCAGAATGGCTGGTAGTTTTGAACTGCCAACCTTGAGGTTAGCAGCCGGATTTGTAACCACTATGCTACCAGAGAGCCTTAAAACGATAGATAGAAAACTGCAAATTTGAATGGTAGCAATACATCTGTAAAATTTTATTCTTTAAAAATGATACCTTATTTTCTAATCTAATAGTATGAGTATAATATATACCTAGTGCCATGGAGATGATTCTGCCTTACAGTGCCCATGTAGGAGTAGCATTAAATACAGATATTGTAGAAGCAGACTACCTTAACTGTCTTCTGAGGAGTAGCCGGTGGGTTTGAATCTCTGACCTTTGGTTAGCAGTCCAATGCTTAACCCACTGTGCCACCAAGCCTCTGAAAATTTATGTAAGTAGACAAAAATACAAGGTGCATATACATATACTTGTCTTGTTTTTCTGTCAGCTTCTTTGTGATATTGGCCACAGTGAAGAAAAATTGGGTTTTAACTATGAGGATATCATAATTTGGTAAGTGTGCTTCAATCCACTTTTATTCCCCTTCTGAGATTTAACTAATTTTAAAGTAGAAGTAAACACGCGCACTTTTTATTTGGTTTTGTAGAAACCATTTAAACATTAGAAAAGTTCATAATTTTTAGTAGTTTTATTTGATACCATGTACATTTCAGTAATAGTTTATAATTATCAAATGGGAAGAACCAAAACTAATGTTGAAAATACGTGGTCTTGTAATTTAAACTCTACATTAAATTCTTAGACTAATGGTTCCTCTAATATTCTCCCAAACTAGAGTAGCCTGTAAAATTATATCTAGAGAATAAATCCAAGAGGAAGTGTGTTTATTTGCCCATGCATTCAAGTTGCAGTACCATCTTTTAGGTATTCTGAGGGACTAAAATTGATATAAATGTCTGTGCCTGCTGTTGTAAAGTATTTATTGGTTTAGATTTATAATTCTTTGTGAGGGTGGAAGCAGGTAGACATACTAAGGCAAATAGATGGTAGACACAAATGTATGTATCTTGAGAACTTAATCTTGATTGTTTATATAAAATAAACTACAGAAAGTAAGTAAATTCAATGTTTTCTTAACTGGCAATACCTTACTGAGGAGGCAAAGGTTAAAAATTAACACTGGTGACTTTCTGTGGCTTAGAATGAACATTTTTTATATATGTAAAATGCAGTTACATCAACTTTGCATTGCATGAGTAGAAGTTTTGCATATTTTTTCTGAGAAAGAATTGAATTTGGTGTTAAATTTTTATTTGTATTTGAAATTCTGGCATCAGAATGTCTTTCTGTTTCTTTTCATACAGTTTGCGGTTAGCTTTATTAAATGAAGCTAAAGAAGTACGAGCAGCAGGGCTGCGAGCTCTTCGGTATCTCATCCAAGACTCCAATATTCTGCAGAAGGTGCTCAAATTGAAAGTGGACTATTTAATAGCTAGGTAATTTATTTTAACTTTGATCACATTTCAAATATACTTGACAGTTTGTATTACGTTTTAGTGTACATACCATAAAGTATACAGATTTTTGGTGAAAAGAATTATACATAAATTTTTTATATATACCCAGGTAGTCTGTCATTCAGAATAAAATAGTATTTTCCACATCCTAATAGTAAACATTCTGATTTTTCTCATTTAGACTAGTTTTTTCTGCTGTTTGAGGATCATATGTTGGAAGTATTCACAGTAGTTAATCTTTTCTTTCCTCAGTATTATCTGGGAAGTTCATCCATATTGATTGTTCTTTTTTTTCCCCTGTGGGTTAATGTGCCAGACTGCAGAGCTGTTTGAACTGCAAGATTGGTGGTTCAAGCTCACCAGCTGCTTTTGTAAACCCTATACAGGGTCGCTGTGGGTCGGAATTGACTTGATGGCACTTCACAACAACAACAACAACATTCATTTTATGAATAGACCACAGTTTTCTTATTCATTTCTGTTGATGAATAACTTGCTGTCAAGTCTAATATGACTTACCATGACCCTGTGGGGCAGAGGAGAATTACCTCTCCCCAGTAGAGTTAAATGGGCTGTAATGTATACGTACTATACGTACATGTATACACACAAAATCTTATGTATGAAAACACACATGAGGGACTTGCAAAAAGTTCTTGGAAAAATTCTGTTATCTTTTGATAAGAGTTTTCCATGAATTTTTGAATCTGTCTCTTGCATGTGTATATTTATAGAGTAGAACTGCTGGGTTATAAGGTATTGTGTATGTTTAGCTTTAGAAGACACTGCCAAATTGTTTTCCAAAGTGATGTACTGATTACACTTTTACCAGCAATATATGAGAGTTCCAGATGCTCCACATCCTTATCAGCATTTGCTACTTTCAGTTTTTAATAATAGTTTTTCTGGTCTGGTTTTAATTGTGAGCTCCTTGTGGTTTTAATTTGCATATCTCTAATGAATAGTGATTTTGGATGCCTTTCATATGCTTGTTGACTGTTTGTTTATCACCCTTGTCCTTCAGTCAAATTGAGTTATCTGTCTTACTGTTGTTTAGGAGTTCTTGATGTCGAATAGATACGACGTTTTTCCAGGCATATCCATTGAGAATATCTTTTCCAACTCTGCCTCCCCTTTTCATGCTTGTAATGGGTCTTTGAGGAATAAAGTTTATTACATCTATGAAAAACACGGTGAAAACTAATTTATCCATTTTTTATTTAGATTAGTAGTTTTGGTCACTTGAGAAAATATTGTCCTGTATTCTTCTAAATATAGGTATGAGGGGTCGGTATCAATTTGTAATTCATTTTTATCGTTATGAGTATCTAATAAAGATTTATTAGACTTATGGTGTGGTGCTATGGATCAGCACTGGACTGCTAAACCACAAGTCGGAAGTTCAAACCCACCAGCTGCTCCTTGGAAACCCTATGCAGGGTCACTATGAAGTCGGAACCGACTAGACAGCACTTAACAATGAAGATTAGCACCATTTATTAAAAAGAGTTTCCCTTTGTGTCTAGATTACAATGTCATTTTTGTAGTAAATTAGGTAATTGCTAAATATGAATGCCCTCTGGGGCAGGGTTCTCTTCTCTTTAGTTGATCTGTTTCTCTGTCTGTACACCAGTTTCTCAGTATTTTAATTACTACAGCTCCTAATAATGTTGATATTTCTTTGTTTGAGTTTCCAAAGTTTTTTTTTCTAATGTTTTATTGTGTATTGAGTGATAGTTTATATGGGGGGAACATTAGTTTTACATTCATTTTATCCTATATTGTTTCATTGCCTTAGTTACCATCCCGTCCATGCATCATCCCCCAACGAAAGGGTATACCTTGCATGTCGTCCCCCGCCCCCCCCAAGATCCTCAGCAACCAGCCCCTTTCCCTCTCTGGGTTTCAACTCCCCAGGCACTCCATCTCTTCACATTGTCTTCTCTGTCTTCATCTCAGGCCTCACTGCTTCTCTGGGTGGGGTCCCGCTCTCCAGTCTTCTCCATTGATGGTCCCAGGGCCTCTGCTCCTAGACTGAAAGGTTCCAAAATTTTTTAAAATTTAAAACTAACTACTCTTGGCCATTCTGAGATCTACGTTTCATAGAAATCAGCTTGTCCACATTGACAAAACGTGTTGGGATTTTCTTAGGAATTACATTGAAACTCTAGACTAATTTAGGTTGAACTGACATCTCAATATTGAATCTTCTAAACCTTATTTATTCAGGGATTTAAATTCTCTCAGCAACATTTCATAAGTTTCTTTAATAAGGTTTGGTGTGCTTTTAAAATTTTTAACTAGGGTATTTTTATGGTAGTATTAATGTAATTTTTATTTCTATTTCTTTGCTTCTAGTTTCTAAACTCAAAGCGAAAAGTGTTCGGTATTTGACTGTTGCTTATGGTACTTGCTGTACATTTTAAGTATATTTTCTTTATCATACTAAAAGTATTCCCATTTATTCCAACCCTGCATTCCTAAAATAAATACTACTTGTTTATGATTGTTGTTGTTAAGTGCCATTTATTCATAGCGACCCTGTATAGGGTTTTCAAGGAGCAGCTGGTGGGTTTGAGCTGCCAACGTTTTGAACCAGTGCTTCTCTTACAACGCTTCAGCAGAAGTACTGTGTGTGATTTGATGTTGTGGTTATGTGCTGTGGAGTTAGTTCCAACTCCACAGTGACTCTCCATAGAGTTTCCAAGGCTGTAAATCTTTACAGGAACAGAAACTTCATCTTTCTTCCACAGAACAGCTGGTAGTTTCGAACTGCTGACCTTGAAATTAGTAGTCTGACTTGTAATCACTATGCTACTAGAGCTCCTATATAAATGTGTGTGTATAAACATATATATATACACACACACGAACATCTATACACACATGTGCTCGTGTGCACACACATGTCTATATATGTATACACAGACTCACATATACACACATATATGTTTGTGTGCGTGCACATGTGCATGTGTGTATATATGTATATGTCTATATATGTTGTTGTTGTTGTTAAGTGCCGTTGAGCTGATTCTGACCCATAGCGACCCTGTGTAGGGTTTCCGAGGAGTGACTGGTGAGCTTGAACCGCCGACCTTGCAGTTCAAACGGCTTTGCAATCTGGTGCATTATCCCACAGCGCCACACCAGGACTCCATTCATGCACACACACATATACATATATGTGTGTGATGTGTGTGTGCATGTGTGTGCGCGCGTATGTGTGTAGATGCACGTATATGTATGTTGTTGTAATTGTTAGGTCGGTACCAACTCATAGCGCCCCTGTGCACAACAGAACAAAACACTGCCCAGTCCTAGGCCAACCTCACTATTGTTGCCATGCTTGACCCCATTGATGTGTCCACTTTCCCAATTCATCTCAGTAAGGGTCTTTCTCCCTTTCTCTGACCCTCCACCTTACCAAACATGATATCCTTCTTCAGCGACTGGTCCCCGTGTCCAAAGTATGAGAGACAAAGTTTGACCACCCTGGCCTCAAAGGAACATTCGGCTGCACTTCTTCCAACATGGATCTGTTTGTTCTTTTGGCAGTCCGTGGCACTTTCAGTATTCTACTCCAACACCATAACTTAAATGGATCAATTCTTCTATGGTCGTCCTTAGTCACTGTCCAGCTTTTGCATAATTAGGAGGTTATTGAAAATACCAAGGCTTGGGTCAGGTGCATCTTAGTCCTCAAGCTGCCATCTTTGCTCTTCAACACTTTAAAAAAGTCTTGTGCAGCAGATTTGCCTAATGCAATACATCGTTTGATTTCTTGACTGCTGCTTTTGTGAGTGTTGATAGTTGATTCAAGAAGAATGACGTCCTTGACCAAAACTTTAATCTTTTCTCCATTGATAAGAAAGATGTTTATTGGTCCAGTGGTGAGGAATTTTGTGAATTTTGTTTTCTTGACATTGAGATGCAATCCATACTAAAGGCTGTGTGTGCTCTTTGATCTTCATCAGTAAGTATTTTAAGTCCTCTTTGAAATTTTCTGTTCAGCTCTTGTGCCTCCTCATTTCTTCCATTTCCTTTAACATTTCTATGCTGGAGAGCAAGTGTCAGTGTTTCTTCTGACATCCATTTTGATCTTTTCCTTCTTTCTTGTCTACTTAATGATGTTTTGCTTTCTTCATGTATTATGTTCTTTCACACTGAAGAAGTTGGTAGAATTCTTCTATCTCATCCTCACTGGCTTTAGTGATTGGTACGTAAATTTGAATAATAGTGGTATCAACTGGTCTTCCCTCTAGGCGCATGGATATTATCCTAT